AAAAAATAACCTGATACGATAACAGTATCTTCGTATCATTTAACTTCTCTTTGATTCTCGTTTTATTCAATTTGTTTATTTTTTCCCCCTTTTTTATTATAGGCATGGGGATTTTTTTTTTTTTAAAGATGACATTACAATTATTGTTAAATTTTCTTCGAAGGGGGAGGGGGATGATCTAGGTTCGAACACATGACCTCAGTTTTGGTGAACATCTACAAAGGCAGGCGGTGACACCTGCTCCAAGCGTGTAGTTCATAGGAACACGAATTTCATTTTATCAGAAGCCTTTACAAACTTATACCAAAAAAATAATAAAAAAAAAACAAAAAAAGAAGCCTTTACAAACTAAAAATAGGCTAATGTAGGGAAAGCCAAATCATTATTACACTGTTTTTAAATTCAATCTTACTAATTCTTTATATGAATAACAGTTTTTTAGCTTACAAAAAATAAAACATCCGACAAAACTTTGGCGAGCTAATAGCTATCTTTTTAAAATTTTTAATTTAGGATTAAAATTATGAAATTTCTAACTTATATAGTTAGGTATAGGTTAAAAAATGTAATTAATTTATTTTTTATAATTAATTTGCACAAAAAGTATAATTGTTAATTTTGAATTAATCAATTAATTAATTAAAATCACTCATGTATTAATAATATTAAAATAAATATTAATTTTTATAATTTTTTATATAAATTAATTATAAAATGTACATTTATTATTTATATAAATCATGTTATTAATTTTTATATTAATCTAATATTTATAAGTTAATATTTATAATCTTTTAATAAAAAAAATTTTATTTACTAACATATATTTAACACTATTAAATTTCTTATCTTATAATTAATGAAGTGATTAGATCTATTAAAATAATTTAAAAATTAGTACCTATAACTTATACAAATAGAACTCTCAATCGACAGCTTTTAAAAATATTAATTAAAATATGAATTTTTAAGCATAATTTTTATAAAAAATTTAAGAAAACAACCGACAAAATATTTTTTTTATATAAACAATAATTTTTTTTATTAATAAAATCTTACAATAATGTGGTATTGATTATTTTAATTTAGATGTAACTATATGATACTGTATGTATTTATAATGTAATTTTTATTTATTTTTTAAATTCTAATAAAATGCATGGTATAATATTCATGTATTTAATTAATGACATAAATATTATTAAATTTATTGTAAAATTTTCATGGTTAGAAAATCAAAACCGTTTTTTCTTACCTTATATATTTTTCTTTATTCTTTTTTAGATGAATTTATATATTTTTTAATAAATAATACTAGGTTTTTTTTTTTGAACAATATTACATGGGGTAGGTTTGAACCCTGTCAAAGAGAAAGGGGGATGCATCTCTTAAGGTGGTTAGAGGCCATTTAATTCGAAGGGTCAAATGCAAATAAATAGTACTAGTTAATGGCAGAACCTGTTGAGTATTTGTATAAAACAAGTATTTTTGTTTTGAAATTATAAAAAATTAAGTCCAATTAAAATATAAAAAAGGATAATAAAAATATTAAAATATCTGTTTCTAAAAAAATATTAAAATATAAAAAATTTTATTAAAAATATTTAAATAATTTTATAAATAATTATGACCTTTTAAATATTAGACATATTGACTTCCAGTCTCCTTTCTTAATAATGTAAGAAGTATTTTTAATTCAGTTTTTACATACATATAGCCGCCATTAGCAAATAATAGTGCACAACCCCCCTCGCTGTTGTGGACAGCCCCACACGACGGCTCACTACCGGTCTCCGTCAAACCTACTCACTCTTTTTTTTTTGGTAGAACCTACTCACTCTTTTTACTTGGACCTTTTCGTGTCTTTTTCATTCTGTTTCTCCAAAACCAAAACATCTATACAACTTGTCTTCTTCTCCTACTACATTGCATTCGCTGCAATTGACTCTCTCAATTTAAACCCATTTCCAAAACTCAACTCTCTATCTGTCTCTAAACCTCCCTATTCTCCCGTCTTCTTCCCCTTCAGACAAGACTTTCCTCTGTTCCATTACTCTGTTTTGCTCTGTTTCTGTTTAAAGGATTTTCTTTTGGTTCTCAGGACATTAGAGAGAGTTTGTCTTGGGAAAGAAAATATGGGTTTTGACTTCTCGACGGTCAAGATGGTCTCTGTTCTGGTTTTCAGTCTTGTGGCTTTGAATTGCCTCGTTGGGTTTGGATCATGCGCACAATGTTGCCGGAAGCAGAAGGTATGCAATGAACTTTCATTTGAATTTTGAAGTTACTGTTTTTATATGAATTTGCCGTGTTTGGTTCCCCAGAATTTGATGGAAATGAGAAGAAAGTTTATGGGTTCCGTTAAGTGTTTTTTCATTGCACTAACAATCTAAATTCTTGGTGTAACTACTTCTTTAACATTTTCCTTTTGTTTGTAATGGTTAGTTGTTTGAAATTCTCTGTTTGGTTGCTTTGAATCTCCAGGAAAAAATGAAGTTTGATTCTAAAGTCTTAAATAATTCTTTTCTCTGTTCAAGTTGTTGAGCGTTTTAGAATTCTCTTGCTTGATCTTGATAAGCTAGGTTTAATGTTGTTTGGCTGATGACAAATTGTGGGAAACGTAAAGATACAAAATACCTGGGTATACGCAAGTACAGTGTTTTGAAAACTATTGAAAATGAAGTTTCATTGAAAAACTAAAATTCATGATCAGTTTATACCTTGAAAATTATTGAAATGAAGGGTTTTTTTTCTGAGGACAAGAAAGGGTTTCTTTTCTCAATTTTTTTCTCGGCGACCAAACAGGAGATTGGCACGGTTACTTCTTTTAGATATTTTAATTGCTTACTTCAAGGATGAAGTGAACATTTTTTTAAAATTTTTTTTTGCATTATAAGTTTCCTTGGATCTTTGATTCCCCTTCTCAATTCTTATGCTATTTTCACAATTCTTCACTGCTTGTTGCAATATCACTTCATGGGTTTCATTTTCTTAATAAATCAGTAATTGTCACTAGAAAAAGTAAAAAAATAAAAAATCACTTTCAAACAAATATCAGTGTGTTAACAGGATAAAGATTGTCACTAACTGAACTTTGATCTAATCTAGCTTTGGTTCCTGTATTCTGATGTTAAGAGTCATCATTCTATCGAGCAACTATCGTTCTAATCCACTGTTTCAATTTCTGTGGTGGAGAAATCATAAATACCCATATCTGGAACTGCATTATGGCATGGTTTTGGATGCTAGTGTTAGAAAAATATCAGAACATCATTAATTCTTGGCCATCTTCCCACCAAATTTCTTGTCCCTTTTCTTCCTAGCAATATTTCATTGTAGGCCATATGCCCTTTGCCGGTTTTATCTCTATGAGATCACTTGATTGAGAAGTATTAGGTGGTTTTCTGTAAAATGATCAATTTCAGTTGCCTCTGATGGTAATGCCTAATCCTAAAATGACCTTTTTAGTATGTGAACGCTATTAGTAGAAATCAGCATGACTATGACAACCAATATGATTACAGTAAATTAGCTGTCAATTAGGAATCTGATATGGAAAATCTGAAATTTTTATTTGCACAAGTTCTCTCTATTGATGGTATGTTTTCTTTTACTTCTTCAGGAGGCAGGTCAATGTTAAGAATGGGACACAGCTTTTAATATAATTCCAGTTTAGTTTATTGTAACTCTTTATAACACAGTTGAGCTGGAATTAGGTTTCTGTTGTGTGTTGTTTATTTTATTTCTTGAAATCATGTGAATATGTTTGACATGATAGTGTGAAATGGGCATCCTGAATTCTTACCATATTACTCCTCAGTCAAGTCTAAGGTTTTTAATACGGCTTTTGACCTTTTGGTCTAAGATGGTTTGCTATAATATAAAGCTTGAGGTGATCAAATATCATGTGCTTCCAATCTTTAGGCTTACCCTCTATTATCGAAACATTGGCATTCACATTAAGATATTTTTTTAAGGTGCCTAGCTGCTGGCTTTAGATTTGTTGGCTAAGCATGAACTCTTTTGTCTTTATTACTTTTAATAACTTGTTATTAAGCTTATGATATTAATCAAAAGATTGCTGTTTGACATATTTAACGCTTCTAATTGTATGTTATTGATTGACTCATGCCTTGTATGCAACAGTTCAAACTCTTCAAACTATATTCAGAAAACTGCAGCACCATAATGTGACTGTCAGTCAAACATCTTGCACTGACGGTGGATGGAATGATATCATAGGCAACATAACATGTAACTGTTCTGAGGGAAACAACACCATGTGCCATGTCACCAACATGTATGGCCTCATTGCCTCTTTTTATAATCTGTTATGTATATAGAGGCACATGTATGTATCAATCATACTATTCATTATTCATAGAGAGGACTCGGTGCAGCATAACTTATATCCATAAGTAACATGTCATAAACATCAATAGTATATTACATTCTGAAGTCAGTGATGGTCAACTCCTGCAGTTTATTTCGATTTTACTAGAATGTCTGGTCTAGCTAGTTTAGAATTAGAATAAAGTGATCCATTTTTTGTATTATTAACTAAAAAGATATTCTTGATACCTTGTGCCATCAAGATTAAAGTTTTTCCGTTGTTTTCTTCCCTAATTCAGAAATATGAAAATGGAATCGAATGGTTAATGCTCACTATATTCTTCACTGTCCCAATCAACGTCTGACTGATAGGCATGGTATTATATTCAAGTCAGATTTTACCTCTTTTTTGATTTGTTTATTTTTCTTCTATGACAGACAGCTTAAGCGTCTCAATTTAGCTGGAATTCTTCCACCCGAATTTGGAAATCTTACTCATCTGAAAGAAATGTAAGTCAGAGATGCTCCAGCATTTGGAGTTCATTTTATCTATTGGTTTCATTAGCATACACATTTGCTGCCTAGAGAAAAATGTCTTTTCTAGTTAATGATTTTTTAGAATGTCGGTTAGATTCTAATGACAGGAAACAAAATACTACCATTACGGCTTTAAATTTAGCTATCACTGCCCTATATTACTCTCTTGATATGATGATTATCTGAATTTGGAAAGGCTAACTCAAGCTTTCATTTTGTTAATAGCGATCTCACTCAAAACTATCTTAATGGTACAATCCCATCAAGCTTTTCCAAGCTGCCACTAGTCATTTTGTAAGTTATCATTTTCATTTAATCAATTTTGTGTTTTATGTTGCATTTAATCATTTATGGTGATGGAATAATCCTTTTGGCTTTTACTATGGTATCAGGTCTCTCTTGGGGAACCGTCTTAGTGGAACAATTCCTCCAGAGATTGGTGACATTGCTACACTTGAGGAACTGTAAGTCTTGACTCATGATGTCAGATTCATTTTCTGTGTAGTTGAGAAAGTGACTGGTTACAATGTTGGTTCTAATTTAAATTGCATTTTCAGGGTTCTTGAAGATAATCAGTTTGGTGGAACTCTTCCTGACAACCTAGGAAATTTGAGCCGCTTGAGGAGACTGTAAGCTATATTTTATTTGTATTGGGCTTCATATAAGTTTTAGGTATAGCTGACCATTTTTTGATGCCTGCAGCCTTCTTACTGCAAACAATTTCACTGGAACAATACCAGAATCATTTGGAAAATTGAAGAACTTAACTGACTTGTAAGTAATTGTTATGTCATTTGGATAGCTAAAAACATATCAGAATTTTATTAAAAGAGTCCTGAAGTTTTAGTACTGGTTGCAGTCGGATAGATGGAAATAGATTGTCAGGGAAGATACCGGATTTCATCGGTAATTGGACCAAACTTACCAAACTGTGAGTATCACATCACATTCCATTATCTGTCACAGAAATGATTGTGTTGGTGACATAAAAACTAGAAATCTATATTTCTTAGTATCAAACTTGTTTTTCTAAGAAATTGGAATCTATTGCAGACACCTACAAGGCTCAGGCATGGAGGGACCAGTTCCTTCAACTATATCTCTGTTGGTAAACTTAACTCAATTGTGAGTGCTCTCTCCCGCACATTCTAACTCTTCTATTCAGTTTTGCAAGCTAATCATGCTGGACTGGAGAACTGATATTAAACATATATTTACTCTCAGGATAATCTCTGATTTGAGTGGATCCAGTTCAAACTTCCCTAGCTTGCAGAGTTTGAAAAATATTGAAATATTGTGAGTGGACAATGATGCAATCTACCATAAGAAAATGTTTATGTCATTCTTTTTTCTCCTTTTTTTTTTTTTTTTTTGTTTTCCCATTTAACTTATGAGTTGATTTGTATTTCCATGACTTAGGATATTGAGGAATTGCTTGATTACTGGTAAAATTCCAGACTACATAGGGGAAATGACGGTATTGAAGACTCTGTAAGTTGCTTGGTTACTTAACCTAAAAATGTGGTTTATATTTACTAATTATCATTTATGATAATGACCAGATTACGCAGGAAACTGCATCTGGCCAATAGAATCTTGTAAAGAAAACTTCGATTACTTTATGTTGACATAAACATATTTGCATTTTTTAAGAGATCTGAGCTTCAACCGCTTGACTGGTGAAATTCCAAGGACACTTCAGAGTTTGAGTAAATTAGAATACTTGTAAGTCGGTAAACTTGGGTTTTAGCATTAGACAAATTCTTGTAAGTTGGTCATGCTTTTGCCCTTCATTTATAAGTTTCTATTTAATCAAAGCTGACATGTACTTTTTTCACTGATTTAGGTTCCTGACTAATAACTTACTAACTGGAGCAGTACCAAGTTGGATGTTGAGCAGCAAACGGAACTTGTTAGTATATCTCCAAGCTATAAGTATCTAATATTTCTTCTGAAGTATTAAAAAATGTGCAATATTTTTCTGATTCTCGGTGTTTGCAAGTTTAAGCTATAGATATTCCTTTTCAATCATTTCTAATTACAAGGATAAATTATTTCAGGGATCTGTCTTACAACAACTTCACGGAGTCATCTCCAACTAGTTGCCAGCAAGCAAATGTGTAAGTCTGTCAATATTAATCTCTCATTTCATGTGTATATCCTGTTTACATTTTTAATGTCCTTTAATTTCTTCATTAACCTAGAATCTTTACTTTCACTTAACAGGAACTTAGTGTCCAGCTTGTCAACCATGGAGAACAGCTCGTAAGTTTTATTGCTTATCACCTTTTCTGTTTCTTTACATTGTTCCTTGTGAATCTGGATATCAAAGTGATGACTGAACCTAAATTTTAAACTGCCAGAGTTGCTTGGTGCTTGAGGAAGGACCTTCCTTGTTCTGGGAAAGCCAATGGTAAGGGTTAACACATATATCATACTGTGCTTTGGTTAGTTGTACTGGCTTATGATTTGTTTTAACGTTCCTGTTTTTCAATTGGGACTATTTTTCATACATTTCTGTTTCATCTGCAGGGTATTCCTTGTTTATTAACTGTGGAGGGCAGAAGATGGAGTTTGACGAAAATGAATATGAAGAAGACCTCAGCACAGTTGGTCCCTCAAATTTCGTTTCTGCGGTTTCATGGGCTTATAGTAGTACAGGGGTTTTTCTGGGCAATGAAACTGCTCCTTATACAGCAAGCTCATCTGGTCTGAATGATACCAGTCTAGAGTTGTACAGAACTGCACGCCTAGCACCACAATCACTCAAGTACTATGGCCTATGCTTACGACAGGGCAATTATAATGTGACACTTTACTTTGCTGAAATAATGTTTACTAATGACCAGACATACAGTAGCTTAGGAAGGCGCATATTCGATGTCTCAATTCAGGTAAGAGATGCTTTTACTTCTAGTGAGTTTTATTTTGGATTAGATATACTTGCCGTGGTTTTGTAGTTTGTGAAAATCTAATTTCTTGTTTAACACAGGGACAAGTAGTTTTGAAGGATTTCAATATCATGGAGGCAGCTGGAGGTGCTGGTAGGGGAATCCCTAGGGAATTTAATGTTGACGTTAATGGAACCACTCTGGAGATACACCTATACTGGACAGGAAAAGGAACCAGTGCAATTCCCACCAGAGGGGTCTATGGACCTCTTATATCTGCTATTAAAGTGACTCCTAGTAAGTCCATCTTGTACTAGTATAGCATTTTCTCCTTGCTTTCTTCGAGCTCGTTATCTATTCACTCTTTTCTCTTCTTTTAGATTTCAAGGTGGACACAGGGAAAGGACTATCAGCCGGAGCAATAGCTGGTATTGTGATTTCTTGCTGCGTAGCTGTCCTACTGCTTCTTGCAGTCCTCCGAATGAAAGGTTATTTAGGTGGCAAAGATCCAGATGAAAGTGGTACGTATATAAATGAAGGAAATATGTTGTTCTGAATACTTCGGTCTTTGATTGTGACCCATTCTTCATTTAATATAATTTACCGTCTGTTTGGCCAACCTCTTGGTGTTACAGAACTTCGTGGACTGGATCTTCAAACTGGGTATTTCACCTTAAGACAAATTAAGGCTGCTACTAATAACTTTGATCCTGAAAATAAGATAGGTGAAGGAGGATTTGGGCCGGTTTACAAGGTAACTATCAATGCAATTTTAGTTTATATTAGAAGTGCAATGGAATTTCTGTGCTGAAAGAACACCATATACCTAAACTTGGTGCTGAAAAGGAAAAGGATATCATCTCTGTAAACTAACAAATATTTTACATTACTTGATTATAGGGTGTACTGTCAGATGGTGCGGTGATTGCAGTTAAACAGCTATCCTCTAAATCAAAGCAAGGGAACCGGGAGTTTGTGAATGAGATTGGAATGATTTCTGCATTGCAACATCCAAATCTTGTGAAGCTTTATGGCTGTTGTATTGAAGGGAATCAGTTGTTGCTAGTATATGAATACATGGAAAACAATAGCCTTGCACGTGCACTTTTTGGTAATTCTCCATTTACTTCTCATTGTTGTACAAATTTGGAATTAGAATTATGGCCTAACTCTCCCCCACCTTGCTAATCTTCCTCTTCAGGTCGTGAAGAACAACGTCTTAACCTGGACTGGCCAACAAGATTGAAAATATGTTTAGGAATAGCTAGAGGTTTAGCCTATCTTCATGAAGAGTCGAGATTGAAAATTGTTCATAGAGATATAAAGGCAACAAATGTGCTGCTTGACAGAGCTCTAAATGCTAAGATATCTGACTTTGGATTAGCCAAGCTTGATGAAGAAGAGAACACTCATATCAGCACAAGGATAGCTGGAACAATGTAAGTTCTCTAATTTTTCCTGCTTCCGTTTAGATCCCTTGAATTAAATTTCTGTGTGTGCTAGACAAAGATCATTAAAGATAATTGTTTCCTCTGTCCTAATACTCTTGCTGTCCCATTTCTTATGTAGAGGTTATATGGCTCCGGAATATGCAATGAGGGGATACTTGACTGACAAGGCGGATGTTTATAGTTTTGGAGTTGTTGCTTTAGAGGTTGTAAGTGGGAAGAGCAACACGAATTACAGACCAAAAGAGGAGTTTGTTTATCTTCTTGACTGGGTAATTTATATCCATCCCATCTGGCACAGAATTTACTTATAGTCTCAACAATGTTTCTTGGCTGACATTCACTCTTCATGTGGTTGAAGGCCTATGTCCTGCAAGAGCAAGGAAATCTTCTTGAGCTAGTGGATCCAAGCCTTGGTTCCAATTACTCAACTGAAGAAGCATTGAGGCTGCTAGATCTGGCTCTCTTGTGCACCAACCCATCTCCCACTCTAAGGCCATCCATGTCTTCCGTGGTGAGCATGATTGAAGGGAAGATTGCCGTCCAAGCTCCCATAATCAAGCGCAGCAACATGAGCCCGGACTCGCAAGCTCGGTTCAAAGCCTTTGAGAAACTATCAAAAGACAGTCAGAATCATGTATCAACGTTTCTTCAAGATGGTCAGGCCCCAAGAAGCATGTC